CCTCATCTCAAAAATCTCAAATTTCCTTTGTGTAATCCCTAAACCCTTCTAAATATATTTCAAAAGTTTTTTTCCAATAAAACTTTATATTTCATCTGTTATTCTCCCTTATCTAAAAATGGAATCGGTCAATCTGACTGCCCTCGTAACCACCCAAAAAAAAAAAAAAATCTAAATTACCCATTTAGTCTTTCTAGAATGACTTCAAATTGTAACATAAAACTACCTTTGTTTATCCTAAGTAGCTTTAAGCTCGTAACAGTATACATCTATTTATAATAAAAATTCTATTGTTTTAGTGCCCTTTGAACTGTGTCTAACTACTATCTGTACCATTACAAGTTGTAAATCACTCGGGGAATGAGCAGCACATTATGCTATCAAATTACATTATCTACGTGCTGCTTGTGTGTGTGTGCCTCGTGAAACATTTTTATTACATCATTATTATTTATTTTACCTAATCTACTCTTAACTAACTTAAAAAGTTCCCTATTTTTACATTTTAGTTTCTTTTATAATAATAAATAAAGAATAAAGATGAAAGATAAGAAATAAATTACTTACCTAATCTCCGTTTTTCTTGCTGTCGATTATACTTAAGCCTACATATTTTACATTAAGGATAGTAGTGCATTAAATAATTTTTATTTAATTAAATAATGCACTAAATAACATGCAAAAAGCAGGCAATTTCCCCTAACTCTCAAAATTTTTCTGGCTTTCTAACTCCAAGACAAGAGCCATTACAAATTCATCCAAGCTAGTTATTAGCTTTCCCATGGGAATGAAGCTTATGCCCTGAGTGAAATTGATGCATATCTGTTCAAAACACATTATATAACACATCATTTGATAGATGAAAACCTTGACTTTCTACTGGCTATAGATAATATATAATTAAATGTAAAAGAGAACTATTAACAAAGCCTGAAGAAGAGGATGTGACAAGTAGGTCTGGCAGAAGGGGTGCAATTTTCTATTTATAGCTCTGTAACCAAACAAAATAGAAGGTTATAAAAATTATGGTTCATTTGAGCAGTGACAATTCTAAAGAGAGTAATTTATGTTTAATTTTGTACTTTTTGTACTAGGGAATATTCAGGATGTTTTTTAATATTGCCTTGTAGAATTAGGAACTTAGAAACTTATATACAATTAAAATATGGATTATTAGCTATGACACTAAAACTTTCTGTCATGCGTAGAAAAGGATATTCAGGGCAAAAGGATTAAGCTATTTATCAAAAACAAATGTTGGTTCCTGTTACAATCTGAACTCATTTTAGAAATAAAAAAGGGGTAATATACATTTATTTTGTATTTTTTATGGTGGTCACAAGATTGGTCTAATGTACAGAGTCCATATAGAGTATGGTAAAACAGGTAAAATATAAAGTTTTACTGAAACAAAAAACGTTTAATATTTATTTAGGAGGTTTTAGAAGTTACACACAAATGAAATCTTAAAATTTTTTATATGAAGAAAAGTATTTTTAACCTTAACATGAAAATCACTTTGCACTTGAAGCAGTCAACACTCCGATTTCATATATTCATAGACAAATCTTTAGTGAAAATACTTAATTAAAAGATCTGATTTTTTGTTTACAAAAGACTTGTAATGTTTACTGAAAGCTTCCCAAATTTCATTAACATACACAAAATATATCTAAAGTTATAGTATGGAAATTCTAATGGTTACTTTGAGATTACAAGGTTGGTCAAATCAACCAACCCTGCATGGAAAGCATTAATTCAAAATTAACAGTTAAAAGTGAAAAAGATTTAAGGTTTAACATACCAAGATGAGCCATGAGGTTCCCACGGTCCAAGACACACCCAACAGAAATCAGCTTTACAGCTCTGATTTTTACAGACCATGTGGTTACAACCTCCATCTTTTTCTATAGTTACATTGCACTTGGGACATTCCTGAAATTATTGAACTGTTATTCAAGCATTGTGTATACAAAGATTAAATATAAAATAGTTTTATTTAACATGAACAACTTGTTTTCATAGTAATTTGCTTTCGGGAAACTGTACTAGAAGATGGCTAGCATCTATAAGCCACACATGTTGAGCAACTCAGAGAAACTTCAAGGTATTAATTAGAATACTTATACTATTATCATTTTTGCTTAATTAGTTTTAGCTGTCATATTTGTATGAAAATAAATATAAACTTTGATAAAATGTAAAATACTTTATCAACAAAATAGAGGATGATAATAAAATCATGATCAACATCATCATACTATAACTCTGCATGACATGCTGAATATTCATCTAACATTGCATATTAATATCCTAGACATTGCATAAACAAGGTTCCCATATGAGTGCAAAATCATTATGTACAAGTTAACATTTTCCTAAATTGAAAATGTATTTCCAATAACACTTACCTCCACTGACACTTGACTGCCAGGGTTTATTCTTTGTTCATATAAGCATTAGTTTGATTTTTTCTCGCTTGCTCCAGTCTTTTATACCCCACTCAACTGCCCTTTGCTATAATTGTGTTGTGATACTCTTCACCTACGTCAGTGTGTCTATCCTGGTACTGTATTTAAGCAACTCATTAAAATAATTTTATCACTTTTTCAAGACTGATACCATCCCAATCTCTAACACCAGCACTTAGTTAGGAGGAAGGGCAGGAGAGTGTCAGTGGAAGTAAGTATTATTGGAAATACATTTTTTATTTAGGAAAAATGTTAACTTTGAAAACATACTTATCACCACTGCCAGTTGTAGCTAGAATTACACACTGAGAAGGTGGAGAGGCTGGTGAGGGCAATATCAATACATAAAAGCATCTACACAGATCATGGGTGTATCAAGATAAGAGTGGTACCCAAGTGGGGTAACCGCAAGACATCCAGAACAAGAATGCTCTTCACACTGAACTTAGAATAGAATTGTACATGACTGATCATCACTATAGGCTAGCCCCAACCAGATAGCTGAGGTTCTATTACTCAGGATTGGAGTTAAGAGGTCTTGGTCCCTATATCCAACATTGGTGGCTAGGGTAATTGGACTGCAACATTATATATAGATATACTTTTGATTGGATCCCAACCTGTAATCATAGAGTGATGCATTCCAAGCCACCGAAATCATGATGACAAAGTAAGCAACACCAAAGCAGACAAACTTTCTCCTCCAGCTGAAGATGCCTGAAAGGCAACATCCCAGTCTAGGATTGACGGAATCATATATGCTTTACTCAACCAAAGGAATAGAACTCATCCGGCCTGGAATTATGAACATTCATCCTCACTCTCCAACTGAGTGGGTAAGGAGCCTTCCACTTCCCCCAGAATTATGCTCAACCAAGGACCCAGGATGGGTCCACTCTGCATTTGGAATTACAAAGAGATAGTGGACCTCCTTCCATGAACAATATACTGAACCGATATTGATCAAAGAGAAGGGCCATGCACACCCCAACCAGCTAGCCAAGCATCAAATCTGAACTGGTATTATGAGCAGGTTCCCTAAACTTTTAAAAGCAAATCGATCCTGATTTATTCACTCTGATGATCGGCAGGGACGTGCAGGATTCCTTTTAGCTTTACTCATGATAGCCCATGAGTTGAGGTCCAGCATAGTATTGTAATACCACCGGGTAAGCTCCTAGATGGTCTTATGGAACACCTCATTTCTGCAGAGCCTATTACAACCACAAGTAATTAAAGTGAAACAGTGCTTGATAGTGCAGAATTGGTTTGATAAAAGCACACCTGTCTAAGCAACACTCTCCACAGAGTGTGATCTTGTGAAAACAAGGTAAAGGACCCTGAAAGGTAGAAATAAAAATACTCACCCTTCTGTATAATCTAGTAGAAATAGTTAAGATAGCTATAGGGGATAGACAAAAACCCTCAGATGAAAATACTGTCAGATCAGACAAATAATGTGAGATAAAGGTATTGGGGGAGGTCCACATACTAGTCCCCACAGTGACCTCCTGCAGGCAATTTGACCTGGCTGCTAAGAACATAGAAAAGAGAAATCTGATTACATGTGACTCACAGAAGATACGTCGCCTTCAAAGAGAGTGCAGAATAAAGTGTTGTTCAGTATCTCTAAAGGTATAAGAGCAGGCAACAAAACCTTCAAGAATCTCACTGAACACGAACAAGAAACGAAATCTGATTGGACATACAGAGAAAGAGTAAGCAGATGAATTGGAGAAAAGACTGAATCCTTTTCCTGTCTGACAGAGTGTTAGGTAAGAAGAACTGATCTGAGGGCACAGAGAGAATGAGAAAGTGGTCTGTAGAGAACAGACCAGTGATATCCATAAATCAACAGCCATGAAAAATAAACCTGCAGGTAAATGAGATACATGAAATATATGAGTCAGGTCACAAACAGGTGTAGAGAAAGAACACGTAACCTTAATCTACCTGTTAGGTAACTGGAATGGTCATTTGGGACTAATTATCCAAAACGATGTGAAGAATCTGGAGAGTACGGTAGTTGCACTTATCAAATGGTAGTTGAAAAGGCTGCCATAAACAATGGTGATTGTGGAAGATGCAGAAACCTCAATGAGCCAAGTCAAAAAACGAGTTATGGTTGACACCACTGATTGAAAAGAGTTCAACCTCCTCTTAATACAACATTGCTCATATGCATGTCATTACCTTTGAGAAAAGTGATTTTCAGACTAAGCAGAAACTGAGCCAGATACATGTAAACCTTAGAAATTAAACCCCAAGGTCATGTGAAAGGCAGCATAACCTCTATGCTACAAGGTTGAGCTTCTGGGTAGGTGGGTGTACCATATCCAATCATGGCTGCCTCCAACGATAGAGTCTAAAAAGAAGTGGAAGAGTTGAATTACATCAGAAGGGACCTCAGAAGCAGAAACTCGATTGAAGCCACCAATCTGGTGTGATCAACAGGATCTGACAATGGGTTGTAACAAATCATATTTCGTACCCTGGGTGAAGAGAAGATTGAAATCATGGAAATCATCTATTGCCAAGGCCCAAAGATGAGATACTGGAGACCAAATTGCCAGTAGTTGGGTGATCTAATGAGAGGCCAACCCACCAATTTGAGTTGCAAAATGAGAGGCAATTCAGCTAAACCTTGTGATGCAACATATATTCTTTTGGGAGAACCTGTTTGGATTGAAACAATGGACCTGCTACCAAAGGCATCACCTGTGGAACATGACAAGCTAGAAGGGTGATAAGACTAGCCCAGGAAAGGAGTTCCAATATTCAAAAAATAAGGAGCCCTAGACCACATTCCTCCTTGATGAGAAACATAAGACACCACCACAGAACAGTTGGAGTGAAAACTGACAATTTACCCCTTAAGAAGCCCAGACCATGAGACCTTGCCTGTTGAAGAACATGAAGGTCAAAAACATTGTGTATAGACTTTGGAATTCCCAACTGTTGGTATATGTACCCCCCCCCCCATCCCTGAAGAAAGGCATTTGTAAAGATAATGGAAACCTGGACAAAGTGGTAGTAGAGGAACCCAAACTGTAGTAGCATCCTGACTTAACCCCTTGAGATCAAAGTATGATCTCGACTAAGGAAACTGAGAAACCAGGAAGTAGATGTGTACGATTTCTGGTTAGTTAAAGCCCAATAAAATGATCGCTTGTGCTCTCGTCCCAAAGGTTTGAAGTATTTTAGTGATTCCCATAATCCCAGAAGAGAAAGAACCATCTGTGCAATGGGAAAAGGAGAAGTAAGAATGTGGCATCCTATTCTATAGTGTTGAGCAGGATGGGAGACAGCTAAGCCCGACTGAGAGATGAGATGTAAAATAAGAAATACCCAGACTGATGATATAATGAATTGGAGAAAAATAGATAGTCCTGAAAGAAAAGCCTGCCTGGGTTGTATCTGAAAGTAGAATCAGGATGTGATGATCTAACAACTGACGAGTTATTGCCAGCAGTAACCAGCCATCCATGGAATGGTGTGTGCACAGAACGATGGAATGAAGGGAACAAGAAAACTCATACGATACAGCAGAACCCATGCCAAGCCTATGTGAGACCAAAGGAAAAACCCCGGAACTGCAGTCCTGACCCTTGTGCACCACAAATGACAATTATGGGATTTCCCCACTAAGGCAAAGTGCAGGTAGGAGCAGACTACAACCAAGTTGGACATCTACAATCCCAGTAAAAAAATCATCACAGATTGAGGAATAATTAACTTGTGAACTCTGGCAAAGCTAGGCATTGATATAGACAAGGAAGATCGATGACTGGCCACCAATCTCCTGTCTTCATAGGCCCAACAACTAACAGGAATAAAAACTCTGAAGAACTAGCCCAATTCTCTCACTACCCCAGACCAACCAGACTCAGATAACCCAAGAACTAATTTCCAACTCCCATTGTACTGTGGGAGATAGAAATCCTACAGATTGGTTAGATAATAGTGGGGAAGATGTGAACTGAATGATCATTTGTGACCCAAGGACCTGCTGAGCTACTGGACCACTGGTTAAGATCACCACATGTCCAGAAATTCTTGGAACTGAGCCCCTACAGCTCCTGAAGGTATACAATAATCACCAATGCTGCTGGCAATCTGACTAAGCAACGGAAAACTCTTCTGAGAGCTGATGTCAGGGATCAATTCTCATGAACAGGGGCGGAACTATGACCCCCCCTGTAGGATCTAATGAATTTCGAGACTCCAACAACCAGCAAGAGGAATGTAGAAGCCGAAAATTGAACCAAAATACATGCTAACAATGGATCCAGCTCATCCTCAAAGAAACTGGTGAGCCTGAGAGTGTAATAAAGTGAAGTTGAATTGTAAGTCTGTAGACTTACTCTGTCCCCATCAGGGGACAAAGACATATACAGGTGAACTATAAATTCTGGTTTAGAGCCCCAACAATCGAGGATCACATATTTATTTGACAATCGGAAAAATACCTCTACCTGGTGGTGGTAGATGAAATCACGAAGTTTCGACAACGTGTCAGATAAGGCCCAACTGTCCCGTCATGTAACTAAGAAGTAAACCTTCTAGCATGAACCACAATTTCCGTGTAAGGAGAAAAAAAAACAAAAAATTTGCTTACAGATCTTTTAGCCATTAATTAAGTTGCAAGCTCAAAAGCAACTGGGTGAAAACCCAAAACATCACACACTCGAAGAAACAACAGAAGAGAAACAAATCAAAAGCAGCTAATCCCAACGTGGCCGCCTTTTTTGTTTTCATAGGTCATTTAAGGACTGGGATAAAGTAAGTTGTTTTGTAAAAGCAAAGCAACTGCTGGCCATCTGCCATGCCCACCCTAAGAAATTGAATTCCGGACCTCAGTGCTGTGAGTCCGTTAACGTACTACTGACCCACAGGGGGACTGAAAAGCCAACAGACTAAAAGAATGCACAGAAAAAGCAAATCTAAAGTGTCTCGAAAATCTCAAAAATTGCCCTCAAATGCAGCCTTAGAGCCCCACCACAGATCCGAATATATGTCTACATTTCACTATGAATAAGATCACTGACTATGTGCGATGCTAAATATCAGAGGTGGGAGAGGAGAGAACCAGTTAGACTCCATGCTGGAAATAATAATCCAGGAATTCATACCATAATTGGCTTGCCAATTGGAGGAAATAAATTTTTTTAAATTATTATTATTATTACAAAATCAACTAGATAACACAATAACATTCAAATTATCTTTGAACAACTGTAATACTGAAAAACCCATTAGTTGTGCTTTGTGAAGAAACAGTGATAAAATTATCTGAATGAGGTGCTTATATACAGTACCTGGATAGAGGGTGCATTGAGTAGGTGGAGAGCATCACAAGACAATTATCGCCAAGGGTAACTGAGTGGGATACAAAAGACTGAAGCAACTGAGAAAAAAATCAGACTAATGCTTAGATGGGCAAAGAAGAAGCCATGGCAGTTGAGTAACAGTTATAAGTATGTTTTGGAATTAAGTGAATGTCGAAGAAAACTAAAAGCTGTTAAGATACATATGAAACCACACTTAAGCTAGTATCTTTTAATAATACCTTTGTATTTGCTGCAATCCAGTTGGATGTCTCACTGTCATCATCACATTTTTTCTGCCATTTTTTGAGGATACTACATCTGACAGGATCATGCCAACTGTCTCCACACTGAAAACTATAACAAGAAACACCAATTCACAGCTAATAATGTTTCTGAATACAAATGAAATCAACTTATATACAAGAAAATACATATATATTTTTTACTAATACCTGTGATACTAGATAAAGAATTTTGTAACTGAAAGAAATTCTTAGCCCTTTGGTTACCAGGTCTTCACACTGCAAGGATGCAACATATCTCTCTTAATATTTCATTCCAAAAAAATAAAACTGGTGAATGAAATTGTTCGAAATTTGACAGAAAAAAAGAGATTAATTTTTATTTTTTTCTACTATTTCTAATAAAAACTTGTTATTTATTGCAGTTATTTGCACTAAGACTTTGAATAGTTCAAGTGCAAGGTGATTTTAATGTGAGTATACATTTTTTTTTAATCTTACAGTTAACAAATTTTATTTGTGTAGCTTCTTGAACCTCCTAAATGAACATCAAAACTTTTTTACAATAAATGTTTATATTTTATTTTTTCATTTTCTCTACCATATCACGAACTGTAGCTATTATCATGAATGTGCAGTGCAATGAAATGTTTTAAATTAAGAAATGGAAATATGTACATACCTTTTAACTCTTCATCAAATAATTTTAAAATATCTTCTTTGGGTCACTTGTGTAATTTTACATCTTTACCTTTTCACTTATAATATATTTTTAATGTTTCATTTTCTTTCCTATCCTTTACCAATTATTATTCATCTCAAAACACATCAACAGGTGCCCACAGGCATTATAACAGTATCATCAGCAGAGATAATTTAGCTTCCGGCAAAATGTTTTTGCTCTCTCTTAGTACTGTAAGCTTTGCAGAGCGAGACAAAGTTTGGGTTACATTAAAAAAAATTATTAAACCTTTCAAACATGAAACTTAAAACATAAATTATACATAATTAACTAAAATATAAAAGCAAAACCTAAATACAATTTTACTGTCTATCTAACTAGTACGTATTTAGGTGAAAAACAACATCAAGTACTACGGAGGACAAAATCAACAAACAATGCTTCAGCTGTTTGACGTACTCGGTAATAAAATGCTGCACACCAGTTTTAAAATTATCAGTAGAAGATTGTAATTTAAAATGAGCTTTTTCTATTGGTTATAAACATGTCCATCAAATACATAGATGTTGCTTGAAATAACATATCTAAGTTAAAAGGTGGGTATGGCTACTGTTAAGGCGTGAGAATATTTATTTCTCTGTGATTTCTGAATTGACCTGTAGGAATTTGAACTAAGAATGGGTAAATAGCACTGTACAAGTAGAATTCAGTCTAGACATAAATGTACACTTTACATGAGTTGTTATTCAAGTAATAGAAACAAAAAGTTAAGGCCTGTGATTGTCTGTGCATCACATGACAACAAAACTGAAGTTTAAGTATTTTAATTTAAAAGTTTCTTTTGAAATAAAGGAATTAAAAATTAAATAAAATTTTTAGTTATAATGTAAGTGATAATTCTAACTTCATTAAAATACATTGATAATAAAGTGATTTAACCCTTTCGCAACAGGTCTTCCTATGGTCAGGAGTCAAAGGGCATGTCATCACATTTGTAGTATTACATTTACAATTTTATTGATCTACTATTTTATGAATGCATGCCAATAAGTTTGGTATCACAATGTAGATTATAATTCAACGTTTAATTTAAAAGTAAATATTAAAACAAAATTCCTAAAAATTAATTTTTGTGTGTCACATGGTATGTTGAATATAACTTTGGTTTAAATTAGATGTTTGAGATGTCCAAATTAATGATATTGACAAGCTATGATAAAAAATAAGAATCTCCTATCTTTTCTGTTTGGTGAGATATCACTACATTAAGTGAATCAAACACAGTGGGCCTCACCCACCTCTTTCATTTTTGGAAACACTTGTTTGCATACACCTACTTCTGTCTATGACATGTGAATAACCAATTGAAAACTTAGAATGTCCCCCACATGGTATTCTCAGCCTCGACAAAGTGGGAAGTTCCCAAGATTACTTCTTTTACCCAAATACAGTTTAATTAGTAAGCCCAATAAATTACAGTGAAATTCTACAATATTAATAGAGTAATTTATAATATTTTGTTTTACATCCTCCATATGTAAAACTTGACAAGGCTTAGCAAATTACGGCAAGTGGGCAAACGAGTACAAAGTTTTTAAGTAGAAAAAAAAATTATTGTTTTCTATATTTTATTATTTACAGTTCTATGCTTTAAGGAAAATAACTGAAATTTAAGAACATACTTGTAAATAGTAATAATATATACATATATATTATAACCTAAATGTGACTGTATTTTACAAAATACTAGTTCACTAGAACAAACTGAAGGCAGGTCCCTTTGTAAAAGCCAGTTTTATACTTTTGGATATGGTAACATGAGTGCGCTTGCACCGAGTCATTGTAGCTTCTGTAATGTTAGTTAGACACGGGTGAAAGGTCAATAAAATAAAAATAATAAATATGTGTATAATGTTATGAGATTAAAGCTAATCAGACTAAACATTTGTGGTTTCTTGTTATAATTTGTAGTAATTTTAGAACAAAAAATGTATAACTTATATCTATTTCCTAATTTTTTTATGGTATTTATGAGGTCAATCAAATCTACCAAACTCGTACAGAGATAAATATTAAAAATAACAGATAAAATATTAGTTTTTTTCTAAAAATAAATATTTGATAATTATTAGGAGGTTATACATATTTTGCACGTGAAATTTGACAATTTTCTGATGCACAAGTATTTTCAATCTTAAAACCAAAATTTCTTTGCATATGAAATAGTCGAAATTCAAAAATAAAAAATACATGAGCAAATCATTACTTAAAAATGCATATTTTATGCACTAAAGCCTTGAATGCTTACTGGTAATCTGCAAAATATCATGAAAATATGCATACTGTATTAAAAGTTACAATATGAAAACTATAACAAGCACAAAATGGTTACAAGGTCAGTCCCTGGGACTGAGCCTGTACTGAGAGTTAATTAAATTTTGAATGTAACTCAGTAAAACCTCGTAACACACACAGAAATGAGTGCACAGTAGTTAACTCTTTCCTTACCGACATTCTTTTCTGTGCATGTGATGAGGTTTTAATGAGTTACCTTCAAAATTTAATTAAACTACTTTGTTATCATAACATATGAATAAACTTGGCATCAAATCATAGCAAATCATAGTTCTTAATTTTATAAAGCAATATTTACAAAAAAATTCTCAATTTTCCCTACTATGAGAATTGTGAAATTTGCTCTATAGGTCTTCATCTTCTCTATTTTATTTACCATCCCTCTGTGAAATACGATATTTAATGTAAATTACTCATTATAATACTCTTACTACTTAGGCAAAGCATAATTATTATAGCCTTCAATTGTATTTGGTTACATAGCCATAAACTAGAAAATCAGAATGGTCTTGCCACGCCCACCAGTCACATCCTATCTCACAAATTGGCAATAGTTCTCGCTGACATTTAATAATATATTATTTATAACCAATAGAAAGCCAAATTATTAGTTCTATCAAATGACATATAATATAATACGTTGTTTTCTACTATATTTCTTGTTTTTCATGTGTATTCTTTATTTATTATTATAAAAGTAACTAAAATATAAAAATTAGAAACTTAGGTGTTAGACAAGGTCAGATTAGGCAAAATAAAAATAAAAAGTTTTCACAAGGTATGCTTGTGAGTAGCCCATATATTATGTAATTTGATAGGGTAATGTGAGCTACACATTTGCCAAGTGATTTAAAACTTGTGTGGTAGGATTATTAGTTAGACATGGTTTCAAGGACAATAAAACAATAAAATTTAAATATAGACTGATGTATACTGTTACAAGTATTAAATTATTGGGGATAAACAAATGTAGTTTCATGTTACTATATGAAATCATTATAGAAAGGAAAAAAAAAGGTAATATAGATTTATTTCATATTTTTATGGTGGTTATGAGGTTGGTAAAATTGAGCAACCTTGAATAGAGTTAGGGAAGCGAAAATAACATAAAATAGATTTTACTGAAAAAAAAAGTTTGGAATTTATTTAGGAAGTTTTAGATGTTACATAAATGAAATTTGACAATTTTCACACGAAGAAAAGTATTTTTAATCTTAACATGATAATCACATTGCACTTGGAGCAGTCAACACTTTGGCTCCATATGTTCATAGAGAAAGTTTTAACAAAAATACTTAATTAATAATTCTTATTTTTAGTTTACAAAAGACTCTTAATGCTTACTGAAAGCTTGCAAAATTTTGTGAAGATACACAAAACAAAGGAGAAGTTATGGTATGGAAATTATAAAGGTCAATTTGTGGTCATGAACTTGGCTGAACCCATCGGGACCATAGCAAGAGTGTCAAAGGGTTAAAGGACCTTCACTAATACATTCATCATATTAAAACAAATATTGAAAAACTGAAGCTGCCTTACTATGTCCCTAACATATTTCAACAACTACCTATATCCAAGGCAAATCATAAATGCAAAAGTCAATTTTATCTATCCAGTAAAACTTTATAACTAAAAGAGTTCAGACTACTTTTTTAACCTGTTTTATGGTTTTAGCTGTGCTTTTATTAAAAGTATTGAAGTCTGATACATATTAGTTATGCTGCTAATGTAAGCAGACAGAGTTAACAAACTACATATAAATGAAGTTAATCAATGGATATATTTTAATTTTGATGCATATCAAACACAATGACTGTCTGAATGACTGCATTAAAAATACCACTAAAACTGGAAAAGCATAAATTAGTTTTATGAACAGTTGTTTCACATACATATAAATAGTGTCTCTAGCCTACTAAGTAGCAAAAACATGTAGAGATTAAAGTTAAAAAAAGAAATTATTTACCAAAAGGTATGTCCACATTTACAGGTAACTGGCTGAGCATCAACAAACTGTACTTTGATAGCATTGTTACAGTCAGGTGTAGGGCACCATCGAAGTAGACGATTACACTATATATGTTGAAAAGTATTTCAAGAAAGGTTCATCAAATGGCACAATAAAAATGTATAAAACACACATTTAGAAAAATCATACTTGCAATAATTTATCTTTTAGTACATAAACATAAGAAACAAGTGTCAAATAAGTACTTTTGTTACTATACTTCAAGTAAACAAATGATCTTTTAATTTACAATTACTGATCTGAAAAAAAAAAGACTGGGACATCACAGTATTCAAGACCTAGTAACTTAGGAATAGCATCCGACCAGTTAAGAATAGTATAAGTGTATAATATTATAAGTGTATAATACAGAATACATTTTTTATATCCTTGATTTTTTTTCTAGTCAACAATGACAAAACCATTAACACTTTTTTAATCTTATGATATTGCATAACTGATTCTCAGATAATTAACCATCATTCCCATTTCACAATATTCTGAATACAACCCATAATACAGAACATTTTAATTAACATCCTATAATGTAAGTGATAAATGACACTGTTTTCAATTATAACAAGAAAATATTAATGTTATTGTCTTGTATACCAAAACAATTTTCTGAATTTCTAACTCAGTCAAAAAAGAAAAGAAAAAAGGCTGTCTAAAGCAACTGTTAACTTACAAACAGTCAATACCAGTGAATCAGTCTGACTTCAATTTTTTTCTACCTTCTAATTCCATTATCCAAAATACTTATTGAACTTTTCTCAAATGTAAAGGAACATTTACCAGAGGAACGATATGTTTTACTGAGAAATCTTGCCCATAAATACTCATTAATATAATTATACCAGTCTGTTTTCTTAATGTCTTGGGAATAAAAAAATCCCAGCTGCCACTTTCATTTTGCATAACTTATAATCATGAAAAGACATCCAACAAATATGAAAGGATGACTGGATAACACCTGTTCACACTACTTGCCTGTCCCAGCCTTTTTCCAGCTGAATAATGGATGATGTCATATTTGAACCTCTGCTTTTCCTTCTAGTTTTGAAATTGATCAGAATTGGGATTCTCATTTACAAAAAGTATATTCTGTATTGGAAACTATTGAGAACATAGCCAAGTATGATACTAATAAAAACAAACTTTGCCCATGGTGAAATGTAACAGCTAAACCCACTTGTTAATAAGTAACAATGTAAAACAAATTAATACCTGTATGCATGCAATGTTCAACTAATGCTTACTTTTACAAACAACAAGACAAGTTAAAATCAAATCAAAGGCTTGGCCAACTAAAACTTTATTTGTATTTGCTTCCATCCCCCATATCACAAATGCTTCCAAAATCTTTTGAGGCAAATTTTAAAAGGTTTGAAAATTTTCATATTCTACTTCATGAAGCCCCTGATGTTTGGATTACTTATTAAATCATATGTTGGTTTATGAGAAGAAATAGGGAAGCTGACAATAACCAAATATTTACCCCTCACCTCAATAAATCAAAATACTGATCTTACAAATTAATTTTTTTTTAACTTAAACCTTAAAAAACCATAAAATATTAATTCCCTATCAATTTTTCATAGTTTGCATATTCTTACCTCAATAAAACTGTTTGTTATTAGATGTTGGTATTTTAATTTAACCTTAGGATCTGTGATAAGATTCCTGAAAGAGATACATAACATTTTTAATTCAATCAAATTATATGCTTTTAAAATAAACACTGAAAATAAATTTACAAGCCACATAAGTAGAGGTGTTCTGACAAGGTGATATTTCCAAGTTATGTAAAGTTAACAGAGTTAAATAATCTGAAACAATATATCCATTTTTTTTTCTCTTTTTAGATAAGGTTTTGACTTTTCCAAATCGGATTTAAATTACAGATAATATTTCTCACTTGATGAAAATTAGAAAGGTATTCAAGGAAATTCAGATAAAACATGACTGCTTTTAATTTTACCTTCTCAGTCTAAGATTCTAGATACATGACTTTAAGATTTGGCTTAACAACTACAAAGTGCAAAATAAGAAACTGCTTTGACAAACACAATGAAGAACAACATGTATTTATATTATTTTCCAGCTCACCTGCAGGAAGTAAATAGCCCAGGTAACCTTTCAGATTTCAAGTAACTGTGCCATAAATAATAATCAAGAAATAGAACAGGACACTTTATGCATTTACAATTGGGTCGATTAAAAGTGGGGATTACAATTGTGTGGGGATTAAAAGGAATTTTGTATAATAATATATATCCAAGAAGCTACTGACAATGGTGTTTAACTTATTAAATTTATGCACCTGAGCAGCTGAAAGAAACTTATGAGAAATTGCATTAATTTCTCAAAGCCATAAAAACATGTCCAATTACAGGCTACGGTGAATGAAAGTAAGAACTTGTGAGTGTTGGGCTTTATGATATAAAACAACAAGGCTATCTATGCTAAACAACTTTTTTTATTTCATGTAAAAACAAAGCAATCAAAGAAAGGTAAAATATGGAAGTTTAAAATAAAATAAATACTTGTTTGTTTGTTTTTTCAAATTAATAATAAGTCTGGACAGTATCACCATCACCATTGGTACTGTTCAAGGTCAATGGGAATCCACAAGTTCAAAATATGTTTAAAATAATGCCACTGCAGGTATTCATATTAATGGCACAAAAGTAAAACAGGGAAAATTGTGACTTGAGTGCAACAAAGGCAACACATTGTCAAATCAGTCCCTCACAATATAAATCTATGTGTGTAATGAAACTGTGGCCAATGCAGAACCTTGTGAACACAACTTCGTCTCTTCACTTCCTATGCAAACTATATAGCCAAACAACAATAGTTAGCTTTATCTGGAAATTCTTGTGGATATGTTGCTCATCACAAATCAACTACAAACTGATATAAAGCTTTGCCAACATGACTGGCTTGAAGTCCACAAAATAGACAGACAAGGCTGTGATATCACTAGAACAGACAGATTTGCTGTAGTGTCAGGACAGACATCCAGAAAAAGTTAATAGAGATGCCCAAAAGAATGGAGTAATAAGTAACATGAACCCTCTTGTTTAGGGTAAATCAAAGGGCATATCATCACTTTTTTTTTAGTATTACATTCAAAATTTAAATAAACTACTATGCAATGTATATGAATAAATTTGGCATCAAAACAGAGCTAAAAAATCAAATTTTAAAACTGTATAACATATAATCTCTTAATTACAAGAAGAAATATTAAATAAATTATCAATTTCCCCCTGTATGCATACCATGACATTGTTCATTCTGACATGCCCTGCCCATTTTCTGTTTCTTTCATAATTCCTCTCACTCTAGTATAGATATTATTAAAGCATAGTCTAATTTTTATAGCATACAATCTTCTTTGTTTATGGAGATATAAACTAAAAAATCAGACTACTTGCCATGTTCACTTATTAAATCCTATTTTTCATAAATTGGCAATAATTTTCTCTGACGTTTTCTCTGACATCATTTATAATCAATAGAAAGACAAAGATATATAATGCTACCATGTTCTCAAAATATTTTTCAAATAAATAAAATTATTTAATGTATAAGTACCATCATTACAAAAATGTAGGCTTAAGTTTCATTGGTGGGCCAACAGCAAAACAACAAGCCACATATAAGTACTGATTTCCTTGTTTTTTAGGCATATTTTATATTTATTGTTACAAAACTAAAATGTAAACATTAGAAACTTATTAGGTTAGATAATGAAAAAAAGTTTCTCCATAAGGTATGCTTGTGAGTAGCTCATGTGATTTTCAGCTTGTAAAACATGATTTTTAATTACAAATGGTTCAAACAGCAATAAAACAATAAAAGTAAATAGACACAGATGTAAACCGTTATGAGCTGTAAGTTGTTTAGGATAAATAACTAATTTCCTGTATGAACTGTGATCATTCTAGAAAGAAAAAAAAGAAGATTAATTGAGATTTATTTCAGACTTTTTGTGGTGGTAACAAGGTCTGTCATATTGACCAAGTCTATACAGAATTAGAGTAGAGAAAAAAAAACAGATAAATTATGTAGTTTTACTGAAAAAAAGTTTTTTTAGGGGTTATGCAAAACTTTGAAAACTATAAAACAAAAAAGTATTTTTTTACTCTTAAGATGAAAATCACCTTTTATTTGGACTGTTCAACACTCTGACTTCCTATATTCATAAACAAATCATTTTAAAGTCAACATTTTCCTAAATTGAAAATGTATTTCCAATAATACTTATCTCTGATGACACTATAGCTATTTCTCGATCATCAAGATTCTACCTCATGACCCATCTAAGCATTAAACTTGCTTATTCCAGTCTTTTATACCCTACTTGAATGTCCTTGGCAATATCTAATTTGCTTAGCTCCCCACCAACATCAATGCACCCTCTATCCAGGTTTTGTATATAAGCATCTTATTCAGATAATGTTATCACTTTTTTGAGACTTGAAGCCATCCCAATCACTAACACCGGCTCTTAGTGGGAGGAAGGACGGGTGAGTGTCAGTGGAGGTAAGTATTATTGAAAATACATTTTTAATTTAGGAAAACATTAACTTCTGAAACACACCATCCACTGCCACTTTAGCTAGAATCCCATACAAAGAAGGTGGAGGGGGTGGTGAGGGCATTATCCATACAGAAAATGTCTGCATAGAACCTGGATCTACAAAGATACGAGTGGTACACGAATGGGGAAACTGCACTATATCCAGAACATGTATGCTATTCACCCAGAACTTAATATCGATATCACGGGTGGAATAATACATGAATAATTATTATAGACCAGCCACAACCAGATAGCCAAGGTTCAACAACTCAGGGTTGGAATTAAAGGGTCTTGGTCTCTATATCCCACATTGGTGGTTAGGGCCATTGGACCACAATGTTATATATATAGATACACTTTTGATCCCAACCTGTAGCCATAGAGTAATATGTTCCAAACCACCAGAATTATGAAGAGAATGGAAGCAACACTAAAGTGTACAGACTTTCTCTTTCACCTGAATATTTCCAAAAGGCACCATTCCAGGCTCAGAATGACAGGATCATGTACACGATACTCAACCAAAGGAACTGAACTGGTCTGAAATTATGAACATTTATCTTCATTTCCCAACTGAGTGGGCAAGGAGCATTCCACTTGCCCCTGGAATTATGGAGAGGACGTGGAACACTGTGTTCAACCAAGGACTTAGGATGGGACCACTTCTTGTTCAAAATTATGAGGAGATAGTGTTCCATGAACAATATACAAACCAACACTGATCAAAAAGAAGGGCCATGCACACCCAAACAGGATAGTATAGGATCAAATCCGAACCAGTATTATGAGTAGGCTCCCACAGAGGCTGGTGCTACTCCTATAGACATCTGGGAAAGACATCCAGGGACAGGGTAGGAGGGTCCCCAACTTCGCCCTCTTCTCCAAGAGTTGAGAAATACACTCTCCATCCACCACCCAAGCTACTGGAAACTGCATGTGGTAAGGACTCCATGAGTAGAATATGGGGAATAATGCATGTTGAAGAGTCCCAAGAAACAGTACTCTGGACACAGTGCAATAGATTAACCAAGTTCCCCAAACTTTTAAAAGCAAACCAACCCCAATTTATTCAATCCAATGATTGGTAGGCATGAGCAGGATCCCCTTTAGCTTTACTCATGATAGTCCATGAGTGGCAGTCCATGATAATACCATCCAGTAAGGCCTTAGATGGTCTTATGGGACACCTCATTTCTACAGAGCCTGTTGCAACCTATAGTAAGTATAGTGAAATTTGTTGTTAGTGCAGAATTAGAATGATAAAGGCACACATGCCTGGGCACCACTCATCACAGAGTGGGATCTAGTGAAAAAATAAAGGAACCCTGGAAAGGAAAGAGAACATATGATGGAGAAAATTACTCACACCTAGTTAAAATCTAGTGCATGTAGTCAAAACAGCCAGAGGGGATAGTCAAAAACACTCAGAAGATGAAACTGCCAGATCATGTATGTAATGAGAGAGGAAAGTCCACTTATCAGCCCACACACTGTATTCCAGAGTGCAGTTCAACCAGGCAGCTAATGACATAGAAATATGATGAATCTTGTGAGATGTGACTCGCAGCAGATTCATCTCCTGCAAAGATGTACACAATGTGAATCAACTTGCAAAGCCACCTCATTAAGGTAATGGGAGATAAATCACAGGAAACTGAAGGATCCCAATGAATAAATAGTCGATTCCTAGTTCCCTTAAATGAGTTAGTATGAGCCATGTAACACCTGAGGGCACTGACAGGACACAACAAATGACCAGGGTTCGAACATTGTTGTAAAGGTGAAAAATGGCTGACAAATGAATTGCCGAAAAGGATTTATTCCCCTCTCTGGCTGCTAGAGTCTTTGGAAGGAAGAACCTATCTGTGTAAAGCAGAACATAGGTGGAATGATAAATAGTCCTATGCAAATGTATTGCAAACAACTGTTGATATCCACATGCTAACAACAACAAAAAATACACCTTAAGTGAAAGGTAATACAAAGGACAGGAGGCTATAGGCTTGAAAGGATGATGAGACAATGCATGTAAAACAACCTTAAAATCCCAATTAGGCAATTGAAAAGGATATTTGGGCCAAAGGATGCA